ATTTTTAAAACCGAGAAGCCTTGGGCGGGAGTTTACAATTAGTAACAAAATCTCGATCGTTATTTCCTGGTGAATAAAGGCGATCTCATCATTACAAATATAAATTCGACTAAACGTGTATTTCACGGCCGTGAATTATTTCAGGTAGGCTATCATTTGTAAATTAACATGACATAATTCGTTTATATTAAAAAAAAATTATAAAAAATTCTGACCAAGGCGTTTAACAAAATACTATCAAACGATTTCGACTGAATTTAGTCATCATTAAAGTAAAAAGTACAATGTTAATGTATTACGAAAGATGACCCCCAAGGGAAGCAGTGGTTCATAAAGCATATCTTTGATGTTGTTCACTGTTTGAGGGAAAATCCTACACTTTTGGACTGCTATGAAGACGAGTGAAAACCACGAACAGCAGAAATTGTACGATTTTGTCAGAATTTTTTTTATATCTGTTCTGAGTCGTGGGGGTGAGATAGAATACTTTTGCAGTTTTTCGGGGTCTGCTGTTTTACTGAGGTTCCAATGGAAATCATTGAATGAAACTATTTTGGTAGGCCAATGTCATTTTTCGTACTTAAAATTCCTGTCTTGACTAACACGCAAAATTACTCACTTCTCTAGGAGTCGCGCAGGCCCGTAAACACGTTTTAACTTTCAAACGAACGGCAACAGACAGTGAATCTTCATTACATTCCACTTATATTCACGCTACCTCGTTGCCACCAAAGATGATGTTCACCCCACCACGATAGAATGCAAATGATTCATTTTTTTGTGTTACGATTATGATGCAACACAATCAGAGTGTACACACGGCCTGACGTCATTGACGTCAACAGACAGTGAATCTTCATTACATTCAACTTATATTCACGCTACCTCGTTGCCACCAAAGATGATGTTCACTCCACCACGATAGAATGCGAATGATTCTTTTTTTTGTGTTACGATTATGATGCAACACAATCAGGGTGTACACACGGCCTGACGTCATTGTAGTGGGTCCACCAAAGTAGATCAGATTAAGAAACATAAGCAGGCTCTGTTTTCCCAGTCAGATGTACTTTGTCATTTAACGCATGAAAAGAAATATAAACGTCCGAAGATTAAAAAATGTTTGTGGTCTACATCTGCACAAGTGCGCAGAAACAAACTCACCCAATCCCTCCATTCCATCCACTATCCTGGGGGCGAAGCTCGTTAATGTTCATCATTTCGTCTCCATGCACTTATCCATTAAGCCTTCAAAAGTATTCATGCTGCAAAGTAAACTTGGCTTTGTCTCCATGACTGCCTATCCTGTGAGTCATATCATGTTTGACATAAGCAGCCTATCGCTTTTGCGTGTTTATTTTTGATTTGACACATCGAGGAAGCCTGCTGTTTTTGAGCCTTTGTCATAGCTGTGTTCCGCAGCAGTTATATACAAAAAGGCTTGTACAATTGCGCTGAAAAAATAATTTCGAAAAAACTGAATGGACCATCAGATACTTTACTCCGTAAATGGCGGCATTCTGGTATGCCAGAAGGTCAAAGCCGATTTGCAGTAAGTGTTAAATTTATGTAAGTATGAATAGTAAGTGCTGTCCTACACGTATTCCCTTGAACGAGACTCCTTAGCCGGAGGACAGAACTCTTGCAGAAACGAAATACAAATTTAAACACAGAATAAAAAGTATGTGTCCATTTTGAAATGCAAAAGAAATTTAAGAACAGAAGGAATCGCTTGATAATAAAACTCACGGTTTTGCAGTTAAATGTGAAAAATATAAATTTACATGAATCAAACAATTCGTGTATTTATTAAATATTCGTGGCACTTGCGTGGGGTAACTTCGAGAGAAGTGACAAATCGGGCTTCGTATAATCTCTTTTAAATTTTAATACTGTCGTCGTTTGTTGGCTGACAAACGAAAAAAAAATTTTTCTCGGAGGACTTATTGTGTGTCCCCTTCGCTAAAACTTTCAATGATCGTACCGCCAAGAAGTAGTTATGTGGGTTTTCTGTGGTCGACAACTGTCATGCATGTCATCATGAGGAATATTTTTAAAGAAAATCACAATTACCTTTTATTTTCACGATGCAACTGAAATTTACTCCATCCCCATGATTAGCGGTGGGTTTTCTATTTTTTGTAAAATTCTAATAGACCTTAAATCCACTTCCGGTTTTTCGGGCGCGAAAGTGTATGCGGTAGAGACGCAAGTATGAGCGGCGACACGAAACAAAATAACCACCCGCCGCTCAGCCTTTGTATGTACTTTTTGTGAGCGAATGGCGCTCTGACGCAGGGTTTACGCTCAAAACGTCAGCTTTAGAAGCTCTTTAAAGTGGCAAATTTACAAAGTTATACTTCAGACTTACTGTGAAAACTCTGGTTGGTCGAGAGCATACATAGGGAAATGCCTGTTGCGATCGTAACTACATGGTAGCATAATTTCACTTTCAGAATTTCCCAGTGAAAACAGCAGTTGCCTTTCTCTTTCTTGGTTTCTCTATGTTTCTCTACCTTAATGATGTCGAGCTTGAGGAGCGAAGAGTGTATTCTGTTCGATAGTATCATTCGTTTAAACGTTATTTAGCTACAATGTTGAATTGATTTTATGTTTTCGGAACATCTAGGGTGCTGTTCGTGGAAAAACATTTTATTTATCTAACTTAGAGTATTCTTCGGGGGCAAGAAGGATTTGAATTGATTTTGAATTGATTTGAAACGTGAATCTCATGGGTTGGTTGAAGCAGATAAGTGCTGATCCAGGAATAAAAGCTAAACGCAGTTTAAATTTTTGTAGTTTACAAGTGTTTGTTCGTGTACGCGAGCATCATTTGCATTTATATCAGTTACGAATAATTTCCGCCCCGCTGAGTTTTAGAAGTGCACAAAAAATGAGCGATTTTTGTCCCGAAAATCGTTTGTCTGATAATGCCAAGAAACTCGAAATTGACTATGAATCGAAAAGCTACTATTAAATCGGCAAAATAAGAAATTTCGTTGAGCGACTCTGACTATGACTTACAGCTGCTTTTAAACGAGTGAACTCAAACACGTAGATTATTGCATCCTCGTATAATCGTTATTCATGAGCTCTCCTAGGTTTTCTAGAGTCGCAAGTGTGTCCACTTATGTCCAGGAATGCACGCAGTAAAGAAAATTGCAGATTTGACAAAACGTCTTAAAACCAAGTGAATGTACATGGATTCAAGCTCCTCAAAGCGAAATCAGCTCGGTGGATTTTGTATGCATTTCTGGAAATAATTAATGATATGATACTCGCTCAAAGCAAATCGTCACAAATCCGTTTCGTTTAAAATTATTTTAACCACTATCCGGAGTCAATTGAACAAAAAGCACACATTGGACTGCATTCCATAATGCGCCTAAGAAGTGAAGAGAAAATTTTTCATGACCGTGCTTGATTATTTACCTGTCTTTGGATATCCTTTGGAGGTTTTAAGATTTTTTCTTTTTCACGAATAGGTACTGCAAGAAGATAATTTGGTTTGATCACTTGAGTTGATAATATGGATTGGCTACCGTAAATAGTGTTTAAAGCTGACGTTTCGAGCGTTTCAGAGCGAAGGACAGAAGACTGGAGTACTGGTAACCGAGTATGGAGAGTGTACTATTCTCCAGTGGCATGAATATGTGAGGAGAACACCACGATAGACATAGCTCGGATTGCACTGATGACTTATCAGTAAGACTAGACACTGCTAACCACCTCCAACAATCTTTGGATCTGTTTCAACGAGGTAATTTGGAAATGGCTGAGAGAAGCCTTCAAATTGCTCACAGGAATCTCCTAGAGATAAAACAAGATAGCTTTTTTAACATCTTCAAAGACCGCTCCTTCCACTGTGATGTGTGTAACGTCTGTCTGGACAAACGGCTGGAAGGAAGACATTCTTCCCGAGAAAATTCAGGACATGACGAGCGCTGCCTCTGTTTGGAGGTAATGACTTACTCCTCGCATTAAAATTGCGTAGTTGCAAAAATTTCCACCATTACTCGCATTTCTTTTGAAGACGATTCCACTGAGGCAAATGAGCTAAAAAACCATTGGCAGTAGATAGTTTCGTGCGCGTATATATAAAGTTTCTCTCCCTTTTTAAAGTATGCTTTTGCCCTTAAGTTAACATCAGTATTCTTCATTCCCACATAAGCAGGCCAATAACTCTCTGTCTTGTTCGTTTCATTTCGTTTCTTGTATCTTGGATTTCGTCATCAGTTGATTTGTGTAGTTAATATTTTGTGTTCTCATGATGTCTCTTCGTATTATTTCTACACTGGAAAGTTTTCCTTTCTGCTAGTGTAGGAGTATGGATTTCAAAAGAATGTCTAAAGACACTCGTGATATTGGTTACACACAAAATCGGCTCTGCAAAAGGAAATATCGGCCAATAGTTTTTTCCTACTTGTTTTGATTATATCCTTATTATCGACAATGAGAGTGAAATCTGGTAAATGCAATGTTTGAGCGACAAATCTTAAAAAAAATAATTGTAAAAGTTAATTTGATAGATAATGCTTGAAATTCCTTTTGGTTAATGGAAGTTTGGAACATTTATTTTCAGGGCGCGTCCAGCGGTTGTCAAATCCTGCCATGCTCACAAAGGTTCGTAGAGAGTATGCCATTGCAATGATATGGAATGGCGTGTAAGTATGCTCACAATGACATGATTTTTATGAATTAACTAATATAACGAAGAACGCTTTAGTGCTCCCTATCCATTTTCCCGGACGTAGTTAAAATTCTGAATCGAGATTTGTATGTGGAGTTGTGTCGGAGGCTGTAGGAGGCAGTTCCTGACTCTCGACTACTGGATGCGAGAACCGGAGAGTCGAAATCAATCGTTCGACTGCAAATGGTGGAACTTGATTCACGAGTGCACTGAATGTACCCGGAAAACTATATCCATTTACTTGTAATTTTTCCCACTCTGCTTTCTGTTTGTACAGCATTGGTTTCCCTAAGTTGTAAATAATTGTATCATGGAAAACGAAGCTTACGGTTTGACAGACTTCTTCGTGGCCAGACACACTACAGACCCTACCTTACGCTTGGAACTGCTTTCTCGTAATCAAAATGGCTTCCGCCATGGCCAAGACTCAGGGATGGGGACAGAGGTAAGAAAGACTGACTACAGCATAGCTTTAAGATGAGGAGAGGATTTAATATTGCTTTTCTGGGACTAAGTGGTGGGTCTGCTGGGGCAGGAAGGGCGTCGTAAAAGTCATTCTCGATCACCAAAATTGATGCTGAGATCGCAGCTTTCATTTACTTCGACATAAAAATTGGAGAAAACTGACACCAAATGATCTAGAAAAATTTTATATCACAAGCTTACTCAAAATTGATTTCCTGTATGACAAAAAGATACTTCAGAGAATTACAAAATAAACTCAGGAAGATCGTTGTTGTTTTCTTTGTCACGGCTGACCCATATAGGTGTTTTGCGATATCTTTACAGATAGAATATTACCAAATTTTTTGTACTGAAAAAAAATAAACAGCTCAGCTTTATGAGGCATCAAATCGAGCATTCTAAGCGAGTAAAATGATTCTATATCATATATTAAAGTTCACACTTTAATATATGATATGGCCCGCCTTAGGAGCTAGCCATACAATAAACACTTTTACAAATTGTCGTATTTTGTTTCATTTATCCAGATTGCCATGTCAAACAACACTGCTACCGACACGTTTTTAGATGGTTCCCCTTCAGCCGCAGTGTTCCCAAGGAATTCGCAAGCTTCAACTTTGCTTGTATTGTCTGCACTGAACATAAGACCTTGGAATGTTGAGTCTTTAGAGTCCACGAACAACAGTCCTCTTGCACTGGAGCAAGGAGTAGCCAGAGCAACGGTCCAAATAAACAGGGGAAGACGGGAAAGAGAACAGCGTGAACTTGGGCGGGAACAACTTCAAACGAACCAGGACAGAGAATCGCAAGAGGCTGAAGAATAAGGCAACAGAAGAAGAGATTTTCTAAGTAGATGAAACCTTGTTTCATATAACATTCCTATTGTTTTAGAAATGTTTGTACAAATGTAGTCAATATGTATTTTCCACGCTAGATAATGCCTGTAAACACATTAAAATCCTCAATAATTGTGTTACCAATTTTGAGAAGGCGTGACGCTAGAAATTTTTGTTTAGTTCTAAAAATCATGATCTTTGTTTTTTCACTTTAATGAACAACTTGTTAGCTTTAATCCAAGTCGCAACATGACGAATTTCATCGTTGAGGTAATCCATAAGAATTTTAAGATTTCGGTTTTGGTAAAAAATTCTGGTATCTTCGGCTAAAAAAAGTTAACATTTATTATTTCTTATGCAAAACCAGTTGTTAGACAAGATCATATTTTCAGTAAGGTACCTTGAGATACAATTATATACAATTATTTCAAAATTATTCGAAAAAGCAGGAAGTATTGAAACTGGTCTGTAATTTTTAATCAAGGATGGGTCGCCCGCCGTTAATACAGGGGCCACTTTAGTCATTTTAAGTATAAGTTGTGGCTTTTCCACACTATCAATTTCATTTTCAAATTTGCATATTTACATCGACATCAATTCGTTCACCCCGGTAAAGTTTCGATGTGAACGCTATACGTCCTCTGAATTCGTTCACTTCGGCAAAGTTTCAATGTGAACGCGATACGTCCTCCCACTTCAACGATTAGAGGGCAAAAGATTTAGACACACGAAACATATTTCAAGCTAACGTAGGTGAGTTTGTCCGCGGTTAGTCGAATTTATTATGTTTGTTTACATTACATCTTAATTCTGATCGCATCGTATCTGGTCGAATTGTTCAATCACATGATTATTATAAGGGAGAGACCCGCTCGAAGCTTGACTTTCTGATATGTGGTACGAATATTTTCCTTCAGATCCCTGTACCCTATGTTTTCTTTCGTGATCGTTTCTTTTTCTTTTTTTTTTAACCGAAGAATCCCTTTATCTGTCTTCAATTCATGCGCTATCTTTGTTGTGCGCCCAACAAAAATGGTGCGCAACGAAGGGATTATTCAGTTCATAAAACATACATGAGGGTTTCTCACAGACAACTTCAATTGTAAACATTGCAACGTCATCGTTTTTAGAATATAAGTGCGTGGGAGGAATTTTCAAGACAAGTATTAGAAACTGCTGCTCTTGATTAACATGTTATCTCTTAATAACTGTCTGATTTTCAGTCTAGGGGACGAAAATAATTTTTTTCTATTCCTTTTGAAATAAATCTTTGTTTCGTAGGCTACAAATGTTCACAACATATTTGATTTCAACAAGGCACATAGCCTGATGTAAACACGGAAACTATTTTACATTTCTTCGATAGTTTTCATTTTATTTTTCTAAAGTAATGGTGGTTTGCTTGGTAGAAAAATTTCGATCAAGACAAAGCACTCGCCACACTTTTCAAGCTAGCGGCTGCAGCGAAACTAAAAAAGCATATCAAAGAATAATTTCATGACCATAAGGCGCTTCCAGCAGATATCGAATCTGTTAGGTTTCAAGCGAAAATTTGCATGAATGTTGGTGGCGATTGTGCAGCCGACTCCTGAACTTTTAAAGGTTTCCCGCAAACATGACAATCTCGATCTTAAAGTGTGGACGAACAAGCGTATTTCTGCACCAAACGGAGGCTATTTTTAAAAAAAATATTCTAAAATATTTTTGCAAATTGCCGGTAAAAACTGTTAACGAAAAGCTAACCATTCACTGAGTGGGATGTTCACTTTTCAGTGTTCTTTGGTACAATTTCATGAACAAATAAACATGTTCTCTCTTTTAATTAAGATAACACAAAACGCTCTCTCGTTTTAAATTAATTTTAAAGAAAGAGTTATTGTAAGGGGACCTAGACCCTGAAAATTAGGGAATATCACTTGTGGTATATCCTCGATTATGATCCATGCAATATTTTTGCTCGCGCGACTGGTCTTAAGGCATCACGTTAACAAATATTCCCCAGCTAAGACAGGGGAATATCCGAGGATATCACCTAAGTTACACTGTCCAATTTTCAAATTTTACGTTCATTACGATAATGTAAATGTTACATAAAATGAGAAATATTTGTTTGTTCATATAGTAGTACCAGAGAACACCGATAAGAATACATCCCACGCAGAAAACAGTGAGCTGTTGGTAAAATTTGAAGGATAAGAAACATAATAGCCCCTATTCTACGCGAAAATGTGCTCGTATATTTTTCCTTGAACATTACCTGTTCCTCGAAGGTCACTTCTTTCCTTTTCATCAATTTATTTCGTTCTTTGAATTTTGAACGTTGTTGATAGAGAACGTTGATATCAATGAAAAATATCAGTAAATATAAAAAATTGAAAAAAAAGATTAATTTCCCTTTTTTCTATTTAACATTTTATTTTCCCATTCCCCATTCCCCATTCCCCATTCCTGCTGTTAGTGACATTCTAATCGTTTCGCAAAATAAACAAAAATTTGCCTGGTGCACCAGCGACCTAAATTCACTCGCTGGGCGGTATTTTGACGAGCCCGAAGGGGGAGTGACAAAACAGACAACGATTTAAAATACTCAGCGATGCTACACACCAAAACGACTGATAAGTTATTTACTATACCATAGGCGGCCCAAGCTCCAGCTGTGAGATGATCATTTCGCGAAATAAGAGTCATGGCGAAATTGTAAGAGTTTGTATTGGAATATTTACAACCGCTCCTAGGGGTGAAAAAATCCATTCAAATTCTCAATGAATGAAAATAACTCACCTTACTTTTACAGTGCATTGCTTGTTATCTGACCGCTCACTATGTTGAAAAGAACCTATTTCTGTGAGTTATCTAATTCTAGGTTTACTACATAAGTGCTTCTCTCTATTCCTTAACCCTTTAACTCCCAAGATATCATTAGTAATTCTCCTCACTGTCTGCCATATAAATCTTCTGATGTTAGTTCGGAGCATTTGGTATTCGATCAACTAATAATTCCCTAATTGATATTTTTCTTTATTCTCATTACTTGTCTGCTTAATATTGTATTGATAATGTAAGGAGAATTTCTTTCTTGGTCACTCATGGGAGGTAAAGGGTCAATTCTGTAATGTTTAATGTATGATACATACATACATTTATAAATAATTTTTTCCAACAGGTTGTGCCAGCGTTACAGAATTTCTATGATAAGCGATTCCTTAATTTGACATCTATACATCTGTTGTTTTTAGATATTAGTACCACAAACACTAACGTCGGTGATCCCGTTATTAAATTGAAATTGGGTGAATAAACACGAGTTTATGACTAAAAATTGCCGAAATTAACTTCAGAAGTTACTAGCACTATTCACTACTATAGGCTCATGTCAAACCACCTTGGATATCGCTGGCTCAAGGGAAGATATACTGTGCCTATTTTTGCAAGCGATTCAGCTAGTGAAGTAGTGCCAGGCTCTCAAGAACCTCTCACTCATTTTTAAAAGCACATTGTTAGTTTTAAACTTCCATATCATGGCGCTAAAGACTCAGACTGGCATACCGCTACAAACTAAACTCGGACCCAGTCGCTGTTCTCTCATGGCGCACGTGGAAAGTGTGGGGTATGAAGGGAGAGAACAAGTCAGATATGTTATGTCATATTTGTTTAATTTATCATCATTCCCACAACTCTCCACGCCCTCCGCTTGCCTTGCGGCCATAGTATTTACATCAGAATACGAAACCACTTCCTCTATATTTATGAGAATTAAACAGGAACCGCATCAACTATGGGTGGCATCCAACAACTATGTCTTCGGTGACGGCTTGCTTTATGTCTTAAACGTTTATATATGCATACATAACACACTACCTTGGTTGAGACAGTAATCCTAGCCAACTAAGCTTTCCCAAAATAGATTCATGAATCATAAAAGGAAATAACATTTTATTAGTTACCTTGTCCTAACGATGCGAGCTACTATACTTTACGTCACTTCCTTTAAATTTCTGGAAGGGCAGTGGCTTCGAAGAACATGATAGATTGTGTATTGATGATTATGAAGAAGGTCCCATGCTTTGAATATGAGCGTGCAAATCATGAGGATCAAAGTATTCATCACAAAATTATTTCCGATATGGTTCAGGAATTCATTTTATAAAATCTTACTTACCTAAAATCTTACTTACCTAAAATTTAATTTAATCATAAGTGACTTTTATTTTGGGCTGCGAGTAAATGCCCGGCAGCCGGGCACGGTCTCAAATAGACTAAATGCCCGGTACTTAGAAATATTCACCGAAATGCCATTGAAAGGTTCCTTCAAACTTCTTAAGAGTATCAGATGTTTGTTAAGAAATGTAAGGCGATTCCAAAATTAATTTGTGTTTTCAGTGGATAAATTCTCCGGCAGTTTGATCAGAAGCGTAGAATGTCAGTGTCTACAACCGAACGATATTGTAGTAGGCACAAGCTCGGAGAATTTGTCCACTAAAAAAACAAATTAATTTTTGGAATCGCTTGACATTTCTTAACAAACATCCGACTCTCTTAAGATGTTTGAAGGAACCTTTCGGTGGAAATTGAGTGGAAATTTTTTATTGCCGGGCATTTAGTCTATTTGAGACCGTGCCCGGCTTCCAGGCATTTAGTCACTCCATTTATTTTAAGGAAGTGTCGGGGGCCGGCGTGAAACGACCCAAGGTTCTTGTATTAAATTTATCGGGTATCGGATGCCACAGCACTAGCAAAATGAGTGCACAGTCTTATTCACAAGGCATCAATCAACAAATATGTGTCAGGATTCTTAGATAAGATCTCCGCATCTAAAGATTGAGTAGCTAAAACTATGCGAGGCGCGCTGCGCAAATATTTAATGAAAGCTGATTACATTGAAAAAGTAGGTCTTCCACTCTGCAATACCCGCAAAAACTTCCGCGGGGCTTCCCCGTTTGAATATGAATGTCTAATTCACCGTGACGTCAACAGTAGTTATACAAAAT